TAAATTTTCATACTTTAATTTTGTCTGGGCCATTTCTCTTCAACTATAAAATCTATGGACTTGAAACTTCATAGGATGATAGATCTCATTAAGAAGAAGTGCAGTGCACAATAACCGGTACTCTGCACTTCCTTATTTTTGAGTTATTGCCCTTTGTTAATTTTCATACTTTATTTTTGTCCGGGCCATTTCTGTCACCTTGAAAAGGCGACATATAGGGGTTACTTTTGTTGGCGGCGTCGTTGTCTGCGTCGGCATCCCCTAAATTTAAGCTTGTCCGGAGCATAACTCAATCACTATAAGGCAGATTGACTTCAACTAGGTATGCATGCTTCTTTCAATAACCCAAAGTGCAGTGCACATTAGGACCGGTACTCTGCACTTCTTAATTTTTTAGTTATTACCCTTTAATGTTAATTGCTAATTTTGTACGCTCATCATGATGAATTCAGCTTTATATTTAGAAACTCTCTCTGGTCATTTGTAAGAAATGTAACACTGTGTTGTTTTAGTCCTCACTACTGCCAGTACGTAAAAGGTAAGGCTATATTTGTCAAATGACTCCCACACATGTTCTCTCTCCCTAAACAGAATATTTTGTATGGAATTTATGGTTGTTTTAGGACACTGACTCCTCCTGAATTTCTCGGTTTTTGTGTCTAATAATGTCAGTAATTTGGCTTGCTTTTATTACTAGCTATAACAAAGCTCCCCTCGTAGTTTATGCCATGTCTCTTATACTGTACAAACCTAAACCTTAGGTTAGAATTATGGATGTTATTGCAAATATGTTGTGAATGATATGAAAAAAATGACACAAAAAGGATGTAAAAAAAGATTTGATGTGGGTCAATATATAATCTGAATCTTTTATGTTGTATTATGGATAGTATTACATTTTCATATCTCACTGAGCACATATACATTCTGTTAATTTACTCGGGAAGGTTGGCGTCCCCCCTGAGGGAATATTTATGTTTGCCTTTAGCAAATGAAAAAATATGAGAAAAATGAAGGGTCTGTATATTGTAATGGAACATTCTTTAATGGTCATCAATAAACAGGTTCCATTTATACTTTATGGTTTAACATTGGAATATATTCTTCATTGTTTTATTTTATTTTGTTAAGCTATTACTTGACAGCTTTGCAAATTTTTTCCCCCATCAGATTGATCTTTTTTTTGCTCGACTTTTTTTTTTTCAAAGAAAAGAAATATAGAGGTATTGTTATAGTCACTTGGCCAAAACAACCTTGGGAGTAGACCAGACTCACCTTGACCTTCATTCATAAATGACCTTGACCTGCAATGTCAAATGTCTAAATTTTGCTTTATGTTTGCTGATTTTTGTGGCTATAACTTTGTTATTATTGAACAGATTGTCTTCAATCCAGAACACAATAATCTTATGGAATAATTACCTTCAAGTTATAACAAGACAGACCAGTTGACCTTCACTCATGAACAAAAAGGTTAAAAACTTGAGTATTGCCCCCGCCTGGCAATGGCTCTTGTTATGCTGAAGTTCTAGAATGACCATATTCATTTTCAAACAAATTATCAACTTTAGGGATATTTACACTGATTGCAGGTCAGCCAACAGCATAGAGCCTCAGGTCAAACTGAACAGATTAGTGCAGGCTGGCCTGACTCAATACTGGTAGCAAAAGCCTTGCAGTCTATAAGGTTCCTTATACCATTGAAATTGAAGGGTAAAAGCATACTTGGTATATTATATATATTGCATGAAATTGTATATTTTTGAATTCAACAAGGATTAATGTAGCATAGATGTTGATTAATTAATTTCTGTGAGTCATCTGATATAAAGCACCTGTGATCATACAAAATATATTGATTTGGAATTTCATAAGATAATGACAATAGTGGAATATATAAAAATGGTACTTGTTGGCTGGGGGATGAACATAAAGGGGGTAAAATCTTAAAAGAGTGTACACTGGTTGCCAGTTCAGACTATGACATGAGGGTAACCATTTATGCCAGTAACAAACCCCTGCTGAGGTTTTGCTAAACTGTTGTACTGTAACAGTAATCATTGCTTGAATTTTCATAATAATTATACATGTATATGAACACAAAAATCATTGAAAAACTAGTATTGCCTATTCAGCTCTTTTTCTATAATAATTTACAATTTCATAATGAAGGAATGTCTTCATCCTAAACTTAAAGCAAATGATGCAACAAATTTGTTAAAGTGGCACACTTATGTCATTGCATGCTCATATTATGATGTCATTTAAAGCTTAGGGACTCATCTTACATGTTGTGGGGTTTTATTAAATTTTCCAGCATTGATACAATACTTATTAAAAAATTTAATCTGATATGTGAAAAAGAACTGGTACTGTCCTTTTTTGAGGTATACAGTAAACTTCACTTATAGCGAACACGGTTATAGCGAACTTCCGGTTATAGGGAACAATTTATTTTGGCCCGAATTTTGTCCTTCTTTATTTAATATAAAAATATATGGTTATAGCGAACACGGTTATAAGGAATTATCGCTTATAAGGAACTCATTTCTTAGTCCCAATTTAGTTAATAGTACAGAAAATTACACTTTTATAACGAACTCCAAAATATTGACTATCCGTAAATAGATCCCGCATTTTCAACGCACGGCAAATGTACCGTTTATCGTTGTATGTACTTCAATACATCTATTCAAATGAATTTGTATAGTTTTCTATTTTGGATATTTTTAGCATGAGCTCTTTTCACCAAGATAAAACGGTTATTTATTTATTTTCTTCAATAGTTTTGCTCAAATAAATTAATTATAATAATTTATAATCGGTTTTCAACATAATCATGCATGCTTGCAAGCATGATCCATTACAAACTGCTAAGTACGCTTGATTTAAATGAAAAGAAATCTATATCTTACATTAGTAAAAGTCACCCTTAAATTATAATAGAAGATGTTCAATATAAAAGGAAGGAAAAATCGAAAATCTTGTTTATTCTCAATCATGGAAAGAAAACGAAAATAATTTAGAAACAAAATATTATATTTTATGTGAAATTGAGATAAGGAGTAAAACTAAAACTGAAATAGAAATGATTTTCGAATTCCAAAAAGTACGCTCTCGGGTAGTGTGTCTAAAATATAAATAAATGACTAATATTTCTATTTCTTAATCAAATTATCTTCAAAAATGGCGGACAATGGTAAACAATCAGTTCGTTATATGTAAATCTGTTCGCTATAAAAACTCCTGATACAACGAACTAATTCGCTATATGCTTACAAGGAACTCCGGATATAAGGAACAGGTTTTGAATGTCCCAGTGAGTTCGTTATAAGCGGAGTTTACTGTATTGTGACAGGGGTGTGGGTGTCAACAGTGTGAGATAGTATGATAAAGTTACATACATGTGTTGTACTCCTTGCTGCTGATGAAAGTTAAACACTGCAGTCCTTTAATCTGAAGTTGAAGCACAAACTCAATGAAGTTTATTTATTTGTTCATAATTCCAACAAAATGGTCTAAAAACATAAAATTGTAATATAGTGCCAGTTATTGTAAAAGCCACACAATAATAATTTACCGATTGATGAACATTGAATCCAAAATATAAAACATATTGATGCAGGAAAAGATGATTTTGGACTATTATTTATCTATCACTTGACCATCTGAAGGTGTTTTTCTGTAATACATATTTTGTAGTCAATATATCGGCATTTTAATTTCCTTCAAAACTAATAATACTTTCTTCTGTTTCATATTTGGAAGTTCAAATTATAAGTGGGTTCATCGAGATACGATGTTTATCATAAGTTCTAACCATGACTTCTAATACATGAACAACTTCCATACTGTATTTAACCATTATGTTAAATTGCTTTGTTGGAAAAGTACTCCGAACCACAAAAACAACAATATCAGGAGTGGCTTTATTGTTGTGACTTTTCATGATAAGGATGAAAATTTAAAATATTACATGCTTGATTTTATTGTTCCTACGTTTATCATAACTTTAGAAGCACATTTGGGACATCATTACTGTCAATGAATCAGAAATTCTCTACCATGATCAATTGTTTTTTAATGCGTGATCATTGTGTTAAAAAAGGATTAAAGTGGCGTATCTAGAGATATCTGTGTAGTTTTCTAGGGCAGCAAGCCGATTTAATAGACTTTAACTTCAGATCAATTTCCCTTTTTTCATCAAAGACTAACTTCAGATCAATTTCCCTTTTTTCATCAAAGACTGTTCACTGATAAAAATCTACAAACTTATTTTTCCTGTATATAATAGTTACTATGAAAAGCATTCAGCCGTGATATTTCTGATCAATTTGCTTTAGAAATTATGCTGCTATAGTTTGCTTTAGGAGGGCTTTTCTAAAGGTTTTCCAAGATGAACACTTTGCTTAACAGTGAGGCAATGATTGTGCTTCTTATGTGTTGTTATCAATGTGCCGTCTTCAAAATTATGTCTTTTACATTCAAATACCTTGTCATATGCAATTACATAATAATTTAACTTGCAGTCCATAATCCGTAACTTTCAGTCCATAATCTGTAACTTGCAGTCCATAATCTGTAACTTGCAGTCCATAATCCGTAACTTTCAGTCCATAATCTGTAACTTTCAGTCCATAATCTGTAACTTGCAGTCCATAATCTGTAACTTTCAGTCCATAATCCGTAACTTTCAGTCCATAATCTGTAACTTGCAGTCCATAATCCGTAACTTTCAGTCCATAATCTGTAACTTGCAGTCCATAATCTGTAACTTTCAGTCCATAATCTGTAACTTGCAGTCCATAATCCGTAACTTTCAGTCCATAATCTGTAACTTGCAGTCCATAATCCGTAACTTTCAGTCCATAATCTGTAACTCGCAGTCCATTATCTGTAACTTTCAGTCCATAATCTGTAACATTGAAACAAAGCTTGGTCTAACATTTGGTGAGAGTACACAAGATCTATGGATACACATGCTTTGTACTAAAGTTAATTTACATGTTTTCTGTTTTCAGTAAGGGAAGCTAAGAACCTTATACCAATGGATCCAAATGGACTTGCTGATCCCTATGTGAAGGTGAAGTTAATACCAAATGATGAAAATAAAATAAAAAAGAAAACTAAAACAGTGAAAGCCACACTGAATCCATTATGGGAGCAAAGGTTTGAGTTGTAAGTATGATATATCAGTTTCTCCTATAACTCATACAGACTGATGCACGCAACTATAAAGATCCCAATTTAGAGTCTTTTTACCTCCCTTGGCATTCTGTAATCCTGATCCTTAATTGCAGCAATAATAATGGACTGGTTGTGTTGTTATTTGTGTTTTACGTTGCATCAACACAGTATAGGTCATATGGCTGCTTTCCAGCTTTAGTGGAGGAAGACCTCAGGTGCCCTTCCAAGCATTATTTCAGGCACGAACGGGCACCTATGTAGAACCACCGACATTCCATAAGCTATAGCTGGATAGCTTCTGCACATGAAAGAATCCAAAGTCCCTGTAGGGATTTGAACCCACAGTGGTGAGGGGCAACTGATTTGAAGTCAATGACCTAAGCAACTTGGCCACAGACGCCCCTCATAATAGACCCATGGTGATATAAGTAATAAATTAACTAGTGCTATACATGTATAATAGATATTTTATAAACTTATAATACTATAAATAATTTAAACAAAGGTGCTATAAGTATTTTATAAACTGCTGCTATGAGTTAATTTTATATTGTTGCTGTAAATAATTTAAATACTGGTGATATATACAAACCAGTGCTGTAAATAAGTTATAAATGGGTGCTATAAGAATTCTATAAACCGTGCTTTAAATTTATAAGTATTTTATAACTATAAGTAATTCATAAACTTGTGTTGTAAATAATTTATAGACCGGTGCTTTAATTAATTTATAAACTGGTGCTGTGAGTAAGTTATGAATTGGTGCTATACTTAATGAATAAAATATTGCTATAAGTAATAAAAAAAAATTGTTGCTATAAGTAATTCATAACTATTGCTATAAGTAATTTATAAGCTTTTGCTATAAATAATTTATAAACTATTGCTTGTCAGAGTTATTGATAAACTGGGTCTAAAAGTAAGGCATTATTTGGTGCTATTACTAATAAATAAACTGGAGCTACAAGTATTTTATAAACTCAGGTGCAATAAGCAATTTATAAACTGGTGCTGTAAGAAACTTATAATATAGTATTAAAAATTGATAAAATTTTCCTATGAATAATTTCCAAGCTGGTTCTATAAATAATTTATCAACCGCAGGTACTTTAAATAACATATAAACAGGTGCTATGAGCAATATAATTCAATTGGTACTATGAGTAATTTATGCATTTATGGTTTTAGATGAGAATTCCCTGTGGAAATGATCATGGCCACAGCAATGGTGACCGTGTTTGGACCATGGTCAGCAGTGATATGCCCTTGATATACCATTACAGAATATGACAACAATAATATGGTTTTGTTACAGCTGCGTAATAGATGTTTTTTTACATAGCAATTATTACCTCCCCTTGTGGCCATTTTGGGGGTCATTCCCATTATATCATATACATATTAAGATAGGATAAAAATCTCTCATAACTCCATTATCTTCATGAAAACTGATAAAAATCTTTAAAATATTGGTGTAATGATAATGTTTTGCTTCATATGTTGAAAAGAAGTCAACAATTCACATTACAAATAAGTTGTTTATATTGAATTTTTTCATATTTTTGTCAATTATATTTATATTTATATGGAATATTGACCCTCAAAATGGCTGCCACTTTTAGCAGAGGAGGTAAATATTGTAAAATCGGGAACTATCTATGACACTTTAAAACTGGTGTTTTAACAATCCAAAACTTTATTATCAACCTATTGATATTTTAGGAGGGGCCTGATGCAGAACTTGCATTGTGGTTAAGTTGTTTTGTCTGATGCCCCAGAGATTTTGGGTACGATTCCTTTTCAGGTCTTAACACTGTCACCTCCAATTTGGTATCAGTTTAGTCCAAACATTCAAAATGTGCTCAGGTTTGAGTAAACATTGCATTAAAGTTTAAATTAATTTTGTGTAACTATAAACTTCTTGATTTCTAGCTATGATCAATAGTATACATTACATTTGAGTGGTGGCGTGGCCAAGTGGTTAACACATCAGACTTAAGTTATCTAAGGATTGCTGGCCGCGTAGGTTCAAACCCTGTCAGGGGCAAGCCAGTGTTTCCTTGGGCAAGAAACTTTACATTCATTGCTTAGTATGGTTGGTTCCAGGAACGGATTCGAGAGTGTTTCAATAAACACAATCAAACTTAAATTAAAATTAAATTTGTATAAACTACATTAGTACATTATACAGATAAGTTCAAAAGTAATGAAACAGTTCATGAACCTATTTTGAATTTAAACTGATAATGGAAGTGAAGTTGCAATATAATACCAACTGAAAAAATCATCAGCATCTCATAGTGGTTCTGAGATTATTGTGTTTAAATCAATTTAATCCATGCATGTGAATTGAGTTTTACCGTTGATTTATCATGCTTGATGAATTTAAATGTTTTAAAAGCTTCCCATTTGAATTGCATTACATAAAAAAAATTCAGAACTTTATTCAGGGAGAATTTCGTCTTAACGTTGAACTGGAATACCATGAAAAACGTGTAATAAAAGGATATTTTCTAGGGAATTTGATGCTGGAAAATGACACATGATAACCTCTGGAGATGTCATTTAAGATTCAGCCATACTTTAGTTTTCTAAGTAAAAGCGGAAATTTTTCTGGATGTAAATAAATTTATTTGATGCATGCAAACTGGCATAATTATTTTGTCAATGTAAATGAAATTTGAGAGATTTTTGTTTATTATGGGAAAAGGTTTTATTTATTACTTATATTCATGTAAGATTAAAAAAAAAAAAAAAATAGTGTTTGAATAAATGCCAGTGTATTAAGGTACAGATTGATTGACAGAATGGACAGGTCCAAATGTTTGCTTATTTCAACCCCCAAAAAACAAAAACAAAAAAACATTATCTCTGAATTTGAACACTTCTTGTTTTAAAATAAAAATGATGAAAATAATTACAAATCTTTCAATCATTTTATGACATTGCAAGTCCATTGTTTTAATGTTGGGGTTAAGCTTGGTTCAGTGTTGAAGGTCTCTGGCTGCAAATCATTTGCCCCTCACAGCTGTGCCCTGAGTTTGAATCCTGACAGGGACTTTGGATTCTTTTATGTGAGGAAGTTCCATCTTGCTAAATGAAAGTAATGGTTACTACTCAGGTACCTGCTTGTGTCTGAAGTAATGCATAGAGGGGCAACTGAGATCTTACTTTAAAAAGTGGCCATATGACCTTTATAATTAATGTGAAACTCAATATAACAAAACAAAACATAAATACTTTAGTTACAGAATGTAGGTATGCAATATGTGGCTAGCTTTTCAGTAAAAAATTCTATAATGGCTCTTAAATACATCTCCTTTGTTTAGATAAAAAGACAACTCATTTTAAAAATAATGTGTCCATACAAAAATTTCAATTGACCTAAAGATGTTATGCCTGTAAATAGATTGTGTTTATATGTTAAATTTTGACATTTTTAATGTTGTATAATAAATAAAAAGAACTTATATTTAAACACGTGTTCTTCCCAACAACTACATTTGTACTTCTATATATTATTTTATATAACAAAATCGTGATAATAAATTTGTCTGCATCACGGAAATATTAAGAAAAGAAATTGAAGTTGTTTAGAGGTAATTTTCCGCTGAGTAAATTGGTCTATAATGCTACAGAATGAAATGTTAAAGGGTTAGAATAGGTTTATCAGAATCATATTTATAATGTATTGACTAAAAGTCAGATGCCTGCATGTTGAATTATTAGAAAGTATAGGCAATCATGACAATCTGTATTGAGAGTGTCCTTGAAAATGCTAGAGGCTTTTCTTATGGTTATTTTCTTATTAAATATAAAGAATCATAAAGAACTTCAGTGCCCGTATGATTTATAGAACCCGGAGAGATTTTGTTGATAAATTTGTCCAAGAAAATTGATGTGAAGTTCTTTTCAATGGTAAATTTCATTTCAATATCATTATTAATTATATTTTCCATGATAATCTTAAGATTTGAAAAATTATGTCTTTTTTTCCATGGTACTTTTCATTGTTTATAATTATTTCATAGTTAAAGTCAGTAATAAAAGTCAATTTCATCAGGTTATTTTCATTTTTGTGGCACATTATTGATATCTCCTTGTTTGTTGTTTCTACAGTAACCTTGGTCAAGAAGATTTTGCAAAAAGACTTTCAATAGAGATTTGGGACTGGGACCGAACCTCAAGAAACGATTTTATGGGCTCACTTTCCTTCGGTATATCAGAAATAATGAAGGACCCAGCCGAAGGATGGTTCAAGTTACTCAGCCAAGAAGAAGGAGAGTTTTACGGCTTGCCTGTTGTTGATGATGTTTCCGCTAATATACAAGAAATTCGCTCAAAAATGAAGGTATAGTTTCTTGAATTTAATTATTTTGTCGCCTTGAAATTAGTATCAAATTAGGGTTTGAGTATGAATGTTTTACGAGTTCATGTTAAATGTTGAGTTCTGCTTAAGTCAGTGCAATGGGGTGTGGAAGAGGGCTTGCACTTTCCAGTACTGTCCATGAACAGGCTCAATCAAACCAAGTTTGCAACATTTTCAGTTTTGTCATTCTGCATGTTCTTTAGGGATTTCATTTTTCTCTAACTGCTAAATGAAAATCATTATCACTGATAACCATTTTATTGTTATTTGCTTTGACAACAGAACCATGCATCTAATATGATAGAACTAGGCCAGTATTTCCTGCAGTATAATAAACTGGTAGCACTATAGGAAAGGTGTTATTGACACGAGCATTTTAAAAATAAAGAGTGTATGTGACTGAATTTTTCCCAGCATGTTCAGTAAAAGAAACAATGGAATGAGAGGAAATTATAACTAGATACCCTCCCAGATGATTGAATTACAGAACATCACATTTTCTCTGTTATCTAGAAAAAAAACCCATCTCAAATCTCAAATTACCTTTTCCTAGAAAGTTGATGATATTGAGCCCTGAAATAATGATTATATCACATAGTTTTTCGTTTCTAGCTGCGTCATTTCATCAAATTATTAAAGATATAAAAAAAAAATCATCTCAGAAGTGGATTTAAGTCACTTTTTTGCTTAATGAAATTTACTGTATCATGTTTTACTTAATTTATCAAATTTTTACTATGACATTACACTGTAATCCAAGTCCGATGTTATAAAAGCATTTCTCAAGGTTTTTATTCGTTTCTGTGGACGCCTGTCTGATACAGGACTTGATTTCATTTCTAACTCTCGGGGAAAGAGCTAGGTTCACTAACCATGGATTTTTGCCCAAGATTTTGGCAAAAAATAATTTGATGAAAAGTTCTTGTTTTTAGGTTTTATTTATAAGTTCAATCCTTAAACTGTTAAAAAAATATGAATTTAAAGACATATGTTTACATTTAGTATGATTTATGTTCTATGGAAATACCCCTATTTCCAGCAAAATTAGGAAAATTCACGTATTTTGGGTGTTTTAAACGAAAATTAAAGTATCAGCACAGTCCAGCCCCAACACAATCATTACACCATTGTGTTGTAATGAATCAAAGGCTTCAACTATATCAATATAAAGTTGGGGCTTGCCTGTGCTCTATTCCAAAATTAGATTTTTATCTAATATCTAAACGTCATTTTCTGACATTAATTTCAGTAAATGCAAATCATGGAGCATGTATATTGCACTCAACATTATTAATTTTGTATTCTAAGTTGTTGAAATATGATTCATAACATATATTTTAATAAATGTTTGCAGAAAATCATTTCTAGTCAATTAAAGGCACTTTCACTAAAATAAGTACGATTATGTTTTGGTACGAGTTCGACGGTTTCCACTGTACATAACGGTTGTAAACAAAACTATGGCAAGTTAAAAGAATTATATGTAAACGCTTATAAATAAATGCTGAAATCCTACTTATGCCTAAAATATTTCATTCTTAGAATTAGCAAGGTCTTGTTATGTTATTTTTTTGATTCATTGAAAGAAGTTATGCTAAATACTTGATCTGGGTCCGGTTCTTTCGCCCTCACAAAAAACAACAACAACAACAACAAACAACTGTGGTCGTTTAAACACAGTGATTAAGAGGTTTTTATGTCTTTTTAAAAGGTAGATAAGAAGAATTCAATTTACTGTGTGAAAACAAAATTATTGCAAGTCTCAAAACAATTTAAAGATACTGTATGTAGAGTATTTAAACTTTATAATTCCACATCGTCTGCATTGATATAAAACTACTTGTTAAATGATGTCATAACGTTTCGGAATGTGGCATTAGCTCAGTGGTAGCATGGGAGCCTCTCACCCAAGAGTATTGAGTTCTAAAACTTGATCATAACCTCTTTTTTTTTTCTTCTTTTTTTTTCGTTTTAATAATTAATAAAATAGATAAATAGTGCTTTTTCAGTAAATAATATGTTATTTCATTAATGTATTTATTCCTTCAGATTTTTAGCATTTTAAGTCAGTGCTATTTCATACATATTAAGGTATTAAAGATTTGTTAGACATTTAATTGCTTAAATAAAAGTTCAACAAGAAGTTTTAAATCTTATTAATTTAGTATTATTCTCATTAAAAATATTCACAAGAAATTGCCAAAGCAGGAAATATGTTAGGAGTCAACGGACGAAAAGTCTTCAGTACACTTTCCCAGGATGAGAAAAAAGCATGGTATTAAGCTCTAGCTGTTTCCAAGAAAGTCTTGACTTGTCCTTTTTCACAATTCAAAAGGATCCTTTTATTTTGTGCACGAAATTGCAGAGCATACATGTAAGCAGCCATAACTACATGAATTGGATTATCAACACGAATGATTGCATTGATGTGTATTACTGCCTTTCTTATGGCTGGTGCACATGTAGTTAGAATGTGTTCCGATGTCTCCACCGTAACATGGTATCTCGCATATTGACACCATGAGGAGTGTTGAGACTCAGTCAGGAGTGAGAAATTGGTCTGATAATTTTTCTGATCATGTAGCGGTATTTTGAAATTGATAGCCATTCAATACAGTGTGAAAGAGAATCGTTAAAAGGAACAGTAATAGAGACAATGCTAAATTAAATTTTTGATTGTAGGCTTCCTTATGTTAAAATGTTTAATTTACAACCATTATGTAGATGTAAGGGCATATTGGAATGATATAAACCAAATCTTACTTAGAGTTGTTTTATGTCACATAAATTATGAATACATGTAGATAAATGTTTTATGCCCTCGAAGGATGGCATGAAGGATGGCATATTAAAATCGAACCGTCCGTCTGTCAGTCTGTCATTCCCTCAGTCATTCAGGCTTTATACATATAGACAGTGGTGGTCATGTCCGCTCTGATTCAGTATGCATGAAAGGATTTTAATTTTTCTTTCATATATGAAATAACCATAGATGTATGGTGTGTCGTGAACAAGACTGGTTTCTATGACTTAGGTCCAGGTAATTGTCGGGGTTCAAACTTTGTCAATTTTGATATTAATATTCATATAGGCAGAGATGGTCGTGTCTGCTCTGAAAATAATATGCATGAAAGGATTATACTTATTTTCACATATGAAATTATCATAAATGTATGATGTGTTGCCCTAAAGACCCGTGTTCCTACGCCTTAGTTTAAGGTCACTGCTGGCGTTTAAACTTTTTCAATATTTATGTTATATACATATAAATGGTGGTTGTTGTGTGTCCGCTCTGTAAACTTCCATATACATGAAAATTTCAATTTTTATTTAAAAATATAAAATCACCATAGATGGACAATGTGTTGAGAACAAGACCTAGGTTTCTTTGTATAACTTATACAATGTAGTTCACTGCTGGGGTTCAAACTTTGTCAATTTTTACCACCACACTTAACATGTAATAGTTGGTTTAGAACTAGAATCCTTCGGGGGCATTTGTCACGTTTTGTGACAGCTCTTGTTTTTTCTCAGTTCTCATATCGTCATGGATCATTATATTACAATTGTAATAAAAGTCTGATTTCCATAATTATAAATAAAAAAATAACAATGTAATAAAAGTCTGATTTCCATAACTATAAATAACACAAATCGTTTTCTGGATTTGGCTGTATCATAATTTATAAAAGAAAATAGTATCGAATTTGCAGTTCAGTATCAAATATTACGTATACTCCGAAAGAGCATACAGTCAAACATTATTTTTACTTGACAAAAAAATTCTAACGTACTTTTATATCTATAAATTTACTTAATTTAGGCGGACTTTTACACTATACATTGGAATAAGTCAACAACTCCTAGTATTTACATACTATTTGCTTACATGTATATAGTTACTCAGTGTAAGTTTAGTTAGGTTAGACAGAAATACCTATCTGTTTTGTGTTATTATAATATAATAATAATAATAAAAATAATATCTTTTTATTATTATTATTATTATAAATATTATTATGTTCAACGTCCTTGTCTAAAGACTGACTAAAAAGGCCGTTAAATTGCGATTGATTCTATACACCCTTATTTTAAGCGTAATGTACGAAGTAGATGAATATAACAAGCAAATTAGACATTTATTATTAAAAAATGAACAAACTTACAGTATTTATAAAAGTAAAAATAAATACATTTAGTTAGGCGAAAAATAATATGCATGCACACTTTTATTTCTAATATCCGAATTTGGAATATCCGAAACGTGCCCCATTTATCTTTTATATTAGTTTTGTGACACAATAGTCTAATTTCAACTAAACTATAATTTTGTTTACAATATATAAGAAATATATTGCTATCTTTATGAGTTTAATTCAGTCAAACACACAAATTTATTAGTCTTGTATGAAAATTGTCGTCAAATTTGTGATTTAATTGAATTAAGCAGGTGCTCTAATTATGACGTCATTATGTCGTCATAGTAACCAGAAATGCCTAATAAATGTCTATTTTGAAAATGTAACACATTGTATTATACACCTTTAGGTTTTTGTCAATATCTAAGATGGGGCCATTTTTGGTGCTTAGTGAACCTTGCTCTTTAGCCAAGACAAAAATACAAATGATCAGTGTTAAAGCCTAGACAGTGAACTCCCCTGTCTATATAAAATACTTTCCTATGAAAGCATTTCTCAATTTCATTAACATGAAATAATCCTATGAAAATTAATTGAATTCTGACATCAAGCAAACAGTCTCCTTAAGAATATCCTGAAGAAAAAAAACACCCTTAGACCAATTTTTAAGTTCACATTAACATCTTTGGAGACATTCACTATGTTTCTACTGAGAAAAACCAGACAGGGGATGAAACATTGCTATAGTAAACATTTTTCTTGTTAAGAAAAACAAGATCAACAAGGAAGGGCGAAGTTAAATGAACGCAACCCCCACACAACCCACTAACACAGGACCTCAGGCAATGAGCACAGCCGGAACCCAAATAAAAACAGGACAGGGCACAAGGCAAAGCAACCCATAACTTGTTGAAACCGAAGATGACTAGTTTTTGCCACTAGTATAGAACCAGGCCAGCCTGTAAATTAGGTTCTATACACTGTTGTTAGTATTGTATTTAAAGACGAAAAAAATACACTGAATAAGAACTTCTTTCAGAGTAATCTTACCCCTGACCCTGCTTGAACCAAAAGGACAGCCTATGTCACCAGTATAAAGCCAGGCCAGCCTTACAGGGACTCCACTGAGATTTTTTGACATGACAGGACTTCAAATAGTTTTTTTTCCATTTGATGTAGGTCTAGACCAGTAACTTGTGTTCATAATATCAGTACATTCGCTCATCCTGTTTTCCAATAACAATTATTCGAACATGAAAAATGACCCAAATTGAAAAGCATTGCAAAGCTTTTCACTCAATTGAGAAATATGATTTTCAATTTATATGATACTGAAATAACCCATTTAAACTTTCTGATATTGAAATTATCCCTCACTTTATTTTGATATTGTCATTACTTTGATATTGAAATTACCCCTTAACGTTACTATTATATTGAAATTATCCCTAGCTTACTTTGATATTGAAATTACTTTGATATTGAAATTACCCCTTAACTTAACTTTGATATTGAAATTACCACTTAACTTTACTATAATATTGAAATTACCCCTAACTTTACTTTAATATTGAAATTACCCCTAAACTTTACAATGGATTGTTCCAAATTTAAAGCAGGACAAGTCCATTATGCAATGTCTGTGGTAGTTAATGTAAAGTATGGGAATGTTTAAGTGGTTAAAAGGCTTCATATTTGATGTCATTACAGTGTGTCAATGTTACTGTCCTCAAATCACAAGTTATTGCTCGGTAGTTCAAACCTTTATTGAGAAAAGTAAAGCAAACCATTATTAGAAATGATCAAAATAGTCTTTCCACAAAGAAGATTTGTTTTTCCTGGAAACATGAAATAAAATTTCATTATTAAAGTACTTTTCTATGTTAGTAGAAGAATTTTTTTTACAAGGAGTGTGATATATCAGTAGTCAAAGCTCATCGTTTATTTTACGGAGATATAATCAGATTAGGCGCTCAGAAACTAGACAAGGTTGATCACGGTCAAATGAGCTAATATTTCTTCATGACAGTTCACCGTACCTAGAAGCTTTGAAGTTATTTGTACGCGTTTCTATCATCGATGGTTGACACCATACATATATTGTGCTGATAAGATTTCCTAAAATGATGTTAATTTAATAACAGAACTTCCATTTACGGATGTGTTTGACACTGGTAAACAATGCAAAATGGTCTTAATTTTTTCACATTTAGCAAATATCAGTACTGTACACATGTTGTACACAGATGATAGAAACAAATTTTGATTGTTTGAAAAAATAAATATCTATACTTAAGTAAAGATTTCGACATAACATTTTTGAAAAATAAGAAAATGACAATCACTATTCAAATAGTAAAGAGTGAGGCAAGCATGCAAATTTGCATAATGTTATCATTCTTTTCACTGATTTCTGCTCAGTTTTGTTATTTTGATCTTGAATTTCCTATAAAAAACAATGGATGGGTCCGGAATCAAAGTAAGACAAGTTCATTACACAAAATTAGTGAAAATAGATAAGACATTCATGACAATACTATTGTTGTTAACCATATATTAATTTCATTAATAGAAGGTCTGTGGTTCTACTTTTGGAAGTGCCATGCAGAGCCTTTTCCACCCCCTAGGAAAGCTGGAAAAAGTCTTCATATGACCTTGACAGTGTTGGTATAAATTAAAACTGGGCTACCAAAAAATGAAAAATAAAAAAAATATATTTACTATTTAATGTGATTTAAAGCTGGGCAACCCATAAATAGAAATTATATAAGTTCAATCTGCGCAGAGCCTCCTTCGAGCAGCTTCATCATAACAACATGACTTTTAAGTTTTCCCAAAGTAAGACAATAGATTAAACCTCTCCAGAGCAAGACCTCTCCTCAACAACCAAAATTTTATCATTCAAACGGTGTTGCTATGCAGAGGTTAAATTCACAGTATTTATATTAATGGAATTATAATCGTGTATTTCAGGAAACGAAGATAGATAAGAGACCGCCTCCTGTAGATCTACCTACAAACATGAGTAAACAAGACATAGTTCGAGCATCAGACTTTAATTTCCTCACTGTTCTAGGCAAAGGCAGCTTCGGAAAGGTTTGTATAAGTTGTTTGTATGCTAAAAGCAGCAGTGATTTGTCTATGTCGCTGTCATGCCGCTAGGCAGACCAACACGTTCATGCAGTCTGACCAGACTCCATTCTGTTGGTCTACCTTATTCTATTAGTACTTTATTTGGAAATCTTTTGAACTACTATTGAATAGTTCACTATCAATAGCTGGGCAAGGATATTATACCAATTTAGGAAGGTAGAAAAGATTTAAGAAGGTTAAGGTTAACATGGAAAGTGTTAAGATTATGAAGGAAAAGCTTGGAATACGATCTCGCAGGAGTCATTTAAACTTCCCATGCAGGAATAGCAAGTGATATGCCTTTGTTGTATGTATAGCAAGGCTAGCAGCATGACCAGGCTCTATACTATGGATAGCTCATTTTTAGTATTTTGCTATTGAAATCCCAAAAATTTGGAATGGACAGTTTCATATTCAAAGCTGGGTAAATCCATTTCACAAATTCTGCAGGATAAGGGTTAGTCATGACGTTTGTTGAAAATATGTCTTGTAAACAACAAAAAAAGAACAACACAAATTTTTGTGTGCTTATATAATAGTTATGAAAACAACTGTGAGCTTTTAAGAAAAGTAGTCAAATTGTTAATTTTTCTACATACGTCATGCCAGTATATATATATGCTATTTAACAAGAGCTCTGACATAATACCAGGGATTTACTATGTAAATAATAGCTCTAATTAGCCAAACATATAGGTTATACCTAATAATATCCAAGGTGATTAAAGAGATATAACTTTAGACATTATTACATCATTTTTAGCCGCTGCTTGTCAAAGCTCTCATTGTTATTACAAACTAATTAGCAGTCTTTTGCGTACAATGATGTACATTACTGCTCATTACGGTGCACATTACTGCTCATTATCATGCTGTAAAGGTTGTTCCCACTGTTAATAAATTGTATTTAGAAATTTGATCCTTTTAAATGGTTTGATGTCATGCTGATGACTTAATTTCACACTGAATAATAAAAGCCAGTGTCTTTAACCTCTGTTCATTGTCATATAATAGTTCATAATGGTTTTCAACTTGTACAGTTGTGAAATATGAGTCAGAAATATGAAAAAGACAAATAAGACTATTGGTTTGATTTTATTGTATATGAAGATTTTTGTATAATTGGAAGGAAAAAAAACACCCCAAAAACAAACTCCTTTTGGGTTTGGTTTAGAATTGTTTGAAAGCATGTTTTGTAAAGAGTTTAATCTGTCTAATGTTTATATTAAAGTAACATTATGCTAACTTCTTCTTTGCCAAGTTGAGTTAAAAGACTAACCTACCCTTTTTAGCTCGACTTTTCTATGAAAAGGGGAGCTATCCTACTCGCCCCGGCGTCGGCGTCGGCGTTGGCGTCACACCTTGGTTAAGTTTTTCGTACCACCCCACTTTATTTCAGAAGTATTACAAGTATGGCTTTGAAACTTACCATACTTGTTCACCATCATAACCTCCATCTACAGACAAGAGTACATAACTCTGTCAAGGTTTTTGACAGAATTATGGCCCTTTTTTGACTTAGAAAGTGTATTGAGCTTGGTTAAGTTTTTTGTACCACCTCACTTTATTTCAAAACCATTGGAGGTATTGCTTTGAAACTGACCATACTTGTTTACCATCACGACCTTCATCAACAGACAAGAGGACATAACTCTGTCAAGGTTTTTGACAGAATTATGCCCCTTTTTGACTTAGAAAATACATTGAATATGGGTAAAATCCACTTATTGCCTTAACCCTTTGAGATATTGCTTTGAAACTTTTAATGCTATTTCACATCATTACCCCCATCTGTACGCAAGAGAAGGTAACTCTGTCAAGGATTTGTTTTTAAAAATTAAGGCCTTTTATCGACTTAGAATCTTGGTTAAGTTTTTAGTACCAGTCCACTTTTTGACTGAACTGTTTGAGATATTAATTTGAAAGTTGGAATACTTGTTTACAATCATGATTCCCAAACATGTCCAGGAGAAGGTAATTCTGTCAAAGATTTTATTTGAATTATGGCCCTTAACTGTCAATGTTTTGTATTATAGGCAAGCACTAAAAAACTTAAAAAATCTAAAAAAATTCATTCCTATCCACTTGTTCACTTTACCATAAATTATGTCATAATAAAATAATTCTTCACTAAATATCTTAATGCTCATGGCCATTGTTCACTTTAAAAATACAGAGATTCTTGTATTGCCTTTTACTGCAAAAACTTTTTTTATTGGCAAGCAATAAAAAAGTCGAGCGCGCTGTCTTACGGACAGCTCTTGTTATCATTTGAATGTTAATGATATATTTTGAAGGATTATATTTATAGAATTTTCCATCAGTCATGTCAGTTACTGATTGTGAATTAAACAATTGAAACAATTAAGGCAAAATCTTAAGTTATTTGACTTTAACCTGTACACCCACCATGGCATAATTTCATTTTAAAATGGCTACCAAAGCTATTTTCTTCTGTAGGCCTATACAAACCATATTTCCTGTACATCTAAGATAGCTAGAAAATTTGAATATGTATATTTAAGATATGTAGAAAATTTGAATATCAAAACTATTCATCGGTAATAATGGCCATATTTTATTATTTACAGGTAGTTTTAGCAGAGCGTAAAGGCACAGATGAACTTTACGCTATTAAAATCCTCAAGAAAGATGTGATAATTCAAGATGATGATGTGGAATGTACGATGATAGAAAAACGTGTCCTTGCCTTGCCAAGTAAACCACCATTCCTTGTTCAGCTTCATTCCTGTTTTCAAACCATGGTAAGTTTTGCAGTAATAGGTAACATATTTTATTTCTACAAGGCCTCCAGGACCAAGGGACTTCAACCAAGCGTTGACTTTGATTTTAACAATACTGAATTCTTTCATGTGAAGGAGCTAATTGCTGGCTTTGCAAAGATTAGTGGTTCTACTAAATTAGGCATTTATCACACTAAATTTCTTAAATGAACTGATCCATCTTTCAGTCAGGATAAAACCATTTGAGTGGCATAACGATAAAACCAACATAGTGCGTTTGCGACCAGCATGGATCCAGACCAGCCTGCGCTTCCGCACAGTCTGATCAGGATCCATGCTGTTCGCTATCAGTTTGTCTGCTTGTTATAGATTATGTAAGCGAACAGCATGGATCCTGATCAGACTGCACGGATGCGCAGGCTGATCTGGATCCATGCTGGTTGCAAACCCATTATATTGGTTTTGTCATGGCACGGCTCATTTTATCATTAAGGGAATGTTTCAAAATATAATTATAGTGACAGAACAGCAAACAGTGTAGACCATGATTAGACGGCATAGATATGCCAACTGATTTGGGTCTGTACTGGTTCCATTAATAAAGTCTGTTATCACTAGAAAGCTAAGGATTAAATGATGCACATAAAGGAATCCCATCAAGGTCCAAAAGCCTAAATATATAAATTAAAAAATGTCATTGTTACTTACTGCCAATAAAAAAAAAAAAATCAGTAATTATACATTTTTTTTTTCACTTTCATGGTCAAGCCATAGGAAATTTTACTGTCTTAATTCACTGTGAACCAAGTTTTTTTTAAACAATGTAATTGGAAGTGTCATATCATTTTTAGCTCGACTATTCGAAGAATATGAGAGCTATTGTAGTCGCCCCGGCGTCGGCGTCAGCGTCCGCGTCGGCGTCTGCATTGGTTAAAGTTTTTTGTAAAGTCAAATATCTCAATTATTACTTGAGATATTCAATTGAAACTTACAATACTTATTTATAGTAACAAGGTACATCAGATTGACAAGTTGGATAACTCTGCCTACAATATTGACAGAATTATGCCCCTTTTTAACTTAGAAATTTTGGTTAAAGTGTTTTGTTAAGTCAAATATCTCAATTATTGCTTGAGATATTCAATTGAAACTTACAATACTTATTTATAGTAATAAGGTACATCAGATTGACAAATTGGATAACTCTGCCTTCAATATTGACAGAATTATGCCCCTTTTTAACTTAGAAATTTTGGTTAAAGTTTTTTGTAATGTCAAATATCTCAATTATTGCTTTAGATATTCAATTGAAACTTACAATACTTATATATAGTAAAAAGGTTCATCAGATTGACAAGTTGGATAACTCTGCCAACAATATTGACAGAATTATGCCCCTTTGGAACTTAGAAATTTTGGTTAAAGTTTTTTTTGTAAAGTCAAATATCTCAATTATTGCTTGAGATATTCAATTGAAATTTAAAATACTTTTTTATAGTAACAATGTACATCAGTTTGCAAAATTGCATAACTCTGCCTGCAATATTTGCAGAATTATTTGCCCCTTTGAAACTTAGAAATTTTGGTTAAAGGTTAAAGGTCTTCAAAGATATTTACTTGAAACTTAACCCATGCACTTAGAGTAATAATTGGAGGGTCATAATTGTATGTCACTGACCAAGTTCCATAACTGTATTGCATTAAGGCTGATTCATATCCCCTTTTCTACTTAGTCTCTTGATTAATGTTTACATGCAAGTTTTATATATCTCAATAACTATTAAAGATATTTATTTAAAACTTCACATATGCATTTAGGGTCATAATTGTAGGTCACTGACAAAGATCCATAATTCTATCTTGCATTTAGGCTGATTTTTCTCCCCTTTTTCAACTTAGAAATTCATGGTAAAGTTTTGCTTGTAAGCTGTTATCTCAATAACTACTGAAGGGTTTGTGCCTTTTTTGGGACAATTTTATGCATTCATAATTATTAAGCAGTGATTTACTTGATAAAACATCTTAATAACAAGCCTTTGTACCTTTTCTGTCAAATTTATGTATTCATAGGTAATTAGTATTATTATACACCCTTGTGACATTACCCTCCGAATAGTCAAGCCAATACTGTATAATAAGACTCTTTCTAAGGCCTATAACGTGAATTTATAAAAAAAAATGAGCCCTTTTGTGAACTTAAAAAATTTAACATTATCAAGGCTCTTTTACTATCAAGCACTTAGAATAGTCGAGCATGCTGTCCTACTGACAGCTCTTGTTAGTGAAAATATCTAATTCAGTCATTGAACATTGTAAATCATTCTTATTTAGTTTTACGCTGGAACATTGCCTTAAAGGTGTTGGTTTGATTTAAAAACTAACTAGAGGGAAAAAAAACCCACTCCAAGACAGATTGTTCTGAGCATTTTAATTTCATATCTTTGCTTCCGTTACCTTTGAGAATTGTTTTATAATCTCTTACTCTCGGAGGAGCTGGCAATTTTGATGTACGTAGCTAAGGAAATACGAAGAAGCTAGAAATTTGCTCATAAATGATATTTTAACACATTACCAGACAGAATGGCTTCCTTTAGCAGTGCTATTTCATTTCTTTAAGACAAGATCTAGATATGAAGTAGCTGAGACAAAGTTTTGTTGAAAAATAAATGGGGGGAAAAAGCATATCAGTAGATTGTTTTAAGACAAGAAGTAAATATGAAATTTCAAAGACAAAGTGTTTTTTTGGAAAAATCAAATTTGTAAAAAGCAACTATCATTAAATTGTTTAAGACAAGATCTTAATAAGAAGTATCAAAGACAAATTTTCTGAGAAAAACAATTCGGTAAAAAGGATATGTGTAGATGGTTTAAGAACTGATAATGTATTTGATTGAAGTGTATAATATGAGCCGCGTCATGACAAAACCAACATAATGGGTTTGCAACCAGCATGGATCCAGACCAGCCTGCGCATCCGCGCAGTCTGATCAGGATCCATGCTGTTCGCTGTCAGTTTCTCTACTTGTAATAGAGTTGGTAAGCGAACAGCATGGATCTTGATCAGACTGCGCAGATGCTCATATCATGATTAAAGCATCATGTTACCATTATATAATACTCAGATGTTCCATGGTAAATACATACATGTATTATTTCAAGCTTGTTAAAAGAAGTTTTAACTTGAATAGTAAGGGATTTACAAAACATGTTTTTTTGGTAAAATACTTCCTCTTTAACACTTAACCTGCTGATTAAATGGACTTGTCCAGCTTCCATTTTTTTAACTGCCCATTATCATTTTTTTGGGATGATAAGATAAAAATTCGGAGGTGGTCAGTCTACAGGGGTAGTAGCAAAGTCAGACTACAAGGATGTGTATTCTGCTGGCCTGGCTTTATACTGGTGGTAAAGGCTAATCTCTTTTGCCTGAAGCAGGTTATAATTATTGTGCAAGATATGTCATGTTGTTTTAATTGTTTAAGAAGAACAGAAAGAACTGTGGTGTTTTAAAGAAAAATAAATTAAATAAGTTTGCATGGCTTACTTTATGGTAAAACTATTTTGTATTAACAATTGTTTGCTATGGGTTGGCCATGTTTATGTCGTGACATCATTTTTTATTTCAGGATAGATTATATTTTGTAATGGAGTATGTAAATGGTGGAGATTTAATGTTTAGAATACAACAAGAAGGAAAATTCAAGGAACCTATAGCTGTGTAAGTAGTGAATAACTGTTATGTTTTTATACTGAATTTATCTTAAAAAACAAACTTATGTTATTGTAAGCATTATAGACACTTTTCCAGACAAAAATGACAGAATGCCTGTTAATAGACAAGGATTTAATGGATGTCTACATTAAAACAATTTAGTTGTATTGCTTTTATAAGTGTAACAAATGTTACCCTTGCTTGGGATAATTTTCATTGTGTTCAGGGCCGGCAAAATCTGAAATTGACTTACTTGTCCATTTGTCCATTTTATCTGAAGCTTAACTTATCCATATGATATTTGTTTTATAAATTCTTGAAAAATTTCTATGTGTCTGTACAGACTGTGGGACGATCTGAGCAATACAGACAATTAATTTTGCTGCTCCTGGTGTTACGATATTTCATGTACATATCAGAAAGTTAAATATTTTTAACAGTCCATACTTAGTCCATACAAATAATTGCCATGTTCTTATCTTGTTGGGAGTTTCCTTAGCCTCAATGGAGTTATCCATCTTTCTATCTTGACCATTTATCATTTTCTAAAAATGTACTGACTGATTTGTGAACAGTGCAGACCATGATCAGACAGCATGGATGTGTTGGCTTATCATGGTCTGCACTGGTCACAGGGATAGAATCCATTGCCCCCTGCAGGTGAAGGACTAATACTATTTGACATACTGTCTTACATTATAAAAATGTGCTGTGAATGGAAGACAATGTTTTCAAAGGCATGATTGGCAGGTCTGTTACATTTCCATTTGATCTACTTTAAATGCTTATTACTAAATCACAGGAGTTCTATTATTAGCCAGAATATTTCCTTGTTTTCATGAAAGAATCAGCTTGTTACCAGATTGTTAGTTGTTAACTTACAAAAGGTGTTAACGAATACATAAAAGTGACATTTTCTAATAAGGTATGTTGACATTTCGGCATTAAATGTGGTCAAAAACAAGGAATTTTATTATCTGGTCATTTCATCGTGGCACAAAGTCAGGATGAAAATCCATGCATAATGACAGCTGATTTGGTAAAGTGATGAATTGATGAGAGATCTTGATTAAGACAAGATCAGCTCGGAATATTCATTGAATCATCGGGGATTTCGATTCATTACCATATTATAAAGAAATAGTGACCTTTTTAGTATTCACTTAAACAGTTCCCCGGAGAGTTTTATTGTCTCTAAAGCAATCTGTAGCTGCTTCCAGTAAGTTAGACGTCTGAAAGAAAAAATATATAAAAACAAGACAGTTACATTAACAAAATCTTGTATAAGGCAAGCCATAGAATTATCTTTGTTTCCCCTCCCCCCTGACCAAAATCAGTTTGGATAGAGTAGTTAGCTATGTAGATAAAAAAATTTAGACGTCTGAATGAAAAAAAAAACAAAAACAGTTTGGATAGGTAGGTCCAAATTTTTTTAATAATTTTTTTTTTTTTTTTTTTAAACAATTTTTTTTTTCCTATCAATTGCAAGACTACTGAAGGGAATAGGTTGAAACTTCACAGCATAACAGGAGGCAACTATGATCTATCCAAGGCCCATAACTCTAACATGGATTTTAACAGAATTATGGGGGTTTTTTTTAACTTAGGAAATTCTACATAATCCTAGCATTTGTTTTACTATCAAGCACTGAGAATAGTCTAGCGCGCTGTCCTATTGAGAGCTCTTGTTTGAGAGGTACTGGTTTTCCAACCCACCTTCAAAATAAATTTTGCTATGTTATCATTCAATTCTTTTGGCCAAAATTTAATGTTAATACATTGATGCTAATATATACAGGTTCATTTTGCAAGAGAATTAAGAATTAAATGATGTCTGTCACAAGATTTGTTGTCGTACTGGGAAATATATAATAGCAGAAAAACATTAAAATATTCTATTGTCTGAGCCAACGTTCATTAATATATATTATGGCATCTATTTACGAACACTTTATTGAAGAACTTAAATTACGCATTGTCTATACTTCTACTAACGTAGCTGCTCCTGAAAATGTTATCGATTTAAATTGTTGTTTCTAAAAATGTTTATATACATGTATCTATATTTATTCAAATGGAAATAACTGGAAGGCAAAAACTTTTAATAAATTTATATTGGAAATTCTGAAATTTTAACACCTCATCTAGATGAAACCAGTTTGCATTGATTTTCATCAAGTAAATTGGTTACAAAAACGTTTTTGTTTGATATTTTTTAATATAATTTATTCTGTAATGAATGATTTAAAGCAAGTACATAGAGCATGCTATTTTGTCTACAAACAGTATAGCATGATGCTATTAAACTTGCAGTTAATGGTTTTTGCTAGCAATGTTTGATTTAAGCTATTCAGTCCACTGGCAGTTCATGCATTTATGGTTTAATTAACCTTTTCCCTTATATAAGCGTGTTTCGACGGCTTTTTGCCCCCCCCCCCTTTTTTGAGGCCTCAAACAGTGAAAAAATGCCCTATTTAGGCCCCAAACACTGTTTTTCGTTTGAGAAATGTTGTTAAAAAAAGTGACCACTTTTTCGACACCGTCCACCATCCAAATATTACATCAGGGGGTTGCCAGAAGGGGGATGTGCCCCCTTCTGTTTGGGGGGTTTGAAGGGGGGCGGAGTCCCCCTCATCTCCAAGAAAATTTTGGACATGTGACAGGCTAAAAATGGCCTCAGGTCAATCTTAGGGTAACTAGTAACCGACGCTGAAAAGCCTTTTACTCTATCTCAATTCGTTGAGAAGTTGCAGCACTTTGTAATCAGTTTTGATGGAAAAAAACAATGCAAAATAGTGATTTTTGGCAATTTTGAGACGTCCCCCCGTTGCCATGGTAACAGGAAATTTACCATTGAGCATGCTGTTACAGAGGCTTTGGTGTAGTCAACATTTGTGCCAAGTTTCATTAGTATTGAAGCATTTTTCACAGTTTCATAGCAGTTTGAACTTGTTACAGGAGGCTTTTCAATGAAAACGGCCATTTTTCGCAATATGCTCATGGGGTAAAAGGTTAAGATTTAAGCTATTCACTCCACTGGCAGTGTGCTGGTAGTTGTGAAGGTATTCAGACAGCTGACAGTTTGTGCTTCTATCAGTATGTGGTTCGGGAGTGTAAGAGTATTCAGTCCAGTGGCAATACATGTTTATGGTTTTTCTCTTCACTGACAGTTAATGGTATTAAAATGAAGCTAATCTGTCCCCTGGCACTTTATACTACTTGAATATAGTTATTATGTATTGGAAATAGAAACATTGCAATCTTTAAAATAAAGCTCCATTCACATGCAATATTAATAGCAAAATTAAAATTTTCAGTTTCTGAACCTTTCCAGTTCATTCACATTGTTTGTACTAGAATGAAGCTATTAAATTTTAGTCCATTGCCATTTTTAGGTACTAGAATTTTAACTATTCAGACCAGTTGCCAGATGTTTTTGTACTGGAATGAAGCTTTTCAGTCCACTGCCAGTTTATAGTTTGATTTTGATTATTGAGTGAAAAAAAATCTAGATGTCATGATTAATTAATTGTAAAAGATCCCTTGGGAAATTTTCAGCCAGCTCTTTTCATCTCGTGTTTCATGCAAATGCTAAATATTGACTTCTGGTAATAGCAGTGTTTGTAGTGAATAGTACTAAAAGTACATCCTTAGAGTACTCAAAATTATTTCCTTTCATTACAGTTATGATGATAAAAAAGCTTAACTATTCCCAAGACTGATTGCCTTCCATGTGTCATAGATGAATGTATTTACAGTTTAATCTTTCAGTTGTCCCATTTGACTGTGGTTCAGTATTTTTTTTTTGTAAAAGAAAGAATTTCAAAAGCTCCTTTTATGATGATATTTGTAAGATTTGTAAGATTTGGATTATTTTGCTGGAGACGATATTTCTGTCTCCAAAACTGGTATAAAAGAATTGTCAGTTTTCACATATTTTTAAGATTATTGTCACGTAGACAAGTGCGAAGAATTTTCAAGGTTTTTTCCATATACTGGTACCTGAAGTTGAAGGTGATTGTAAAATGTTTGTGGTAAACCAGTTGGTATAATGCTTGTGTTGTCAGTACATTTCTTACAGAGAATGTGTGGCTCTAAAAAAATGTATTCTGATATTATTATTTAGCACCCTTTTTAAGATATGGAAATTTAAAAAAAGGCAAACAAGGAAATAAAATCAGAATGAATCAAGGATTCTCTAATAGTCATAAGAGTGCAAGGGACATTTTAAGAGCTGATTTTAAATGTTAGAGGCTATAATGAGAGATTTGCCATTTCTCTTGTTACAAAGTGTCTGCCTGAAATTCTGTCTGAAATATTGGATGCTCAGTTCAATTGTTTTAGTTGTTTCATGCCCTTTACTTCCCTTTGTATAGAATTTTATTGCCTATTTTGATACTTGTTAATAAGAAAGACATACCTCTGGCTTATTTATTTACCTTTTGACCAGCAGCGATAGCTGTAGAAAGCTGTAGAAAGTTCCCCCTACCTTCATTACCATGTTCTCATATTTTTCTTGTTTCTGGATCATTGTACTGTCATGGATGGGTGAGGGGATGGAGGGGTAAGGGCTGGGGGTAGCAGGTTAGGGTGAGCAATTGTGCACCAACCATTTGCAGTATCTTTTATATTGCAATATCTCTGAATTAAACCAAGTTTTTTAAATTTCATTTTGATTGTTCTCAAGGTATATCCCCCTTTTCCAGATTTTTCTTTCAAGTGAAGAATTTGAGCACAGCCAGTTTTAAATGGTTGAATTTGCACGGTATTACATTAGAAGCTAATCAAAGTCTTTCTTTTCAGATTTGACATTTGAAATACAGTGTTTATAGACAATTTTCCTTATCTCTATGGTTAAACTTTGTATTCTATGATTCCATTTTTTTTGTTCCACTTAATCTTTTTTTGTATAGGGTTATGTTATGCAATATTTATATGTCTGGTTTTGTCTTATGAAACAGCTATCTATTTTTACCAGCTGAGTTTGTTTTCTGTATTATTTATGGGCAAAATATTTCTTGTTTTATTTCAGGTTTTATGCTGCAGAGATTGCCATTGGTCTTTTCTATTTACACTCTAAAGGAATTATTTATAGGTAAGAAGTCAGTGGATAAAGCAATGTAATATTATATACACTGTAGTGATAATTCTTTTATTAGCAATTTAAAATCTAAAACTTGTTTTGCTATTACCTTACTGTCATATATGTAAAAATACCTGCCTTTTATAACTAACCTAGTATCAAGGTAGAAATAACTGGGCTAGATAGAAATACCAACCTAGTACATATTACTTCCAAGCTAGGATCATCTTAGTGCAGTGACAGGTCAACTACTACTAAATTTAACAAGAGCTAATCCATTTCTGCACTGTTGTGATGACTAGTCTACTGTTATCAATACCATCGTACTAGATCTAAGCTAGGTAACTGGCCTTCTTTAACTGACCTAGCATCAAGGTAGATAAAGACTGGCCTTTTTATACCGAATTAGGTAGAAACAGCATTCTGTAAGAGACCTTGGTAGAAATGCCATAATACTATAACAAACCTAGAACCATAAGGTAGAAATACATTGGCCTACTTAAAACAACCCAAGCAAGGTAGAATTAAAGTCTACTTTAAACTGACCTAGCAGTTAGTTCAAAATATCAAACTTCTTTAACTGAAAAAGCATCCAGGTAGAAACACCAACCTATAACATAATGTAAGAAATAGCAATTGACCTAGCATCCAGATAAAAATAACAACTAACTAAAACTGAGCTAGCATCTAGGTAGAAATAGCTGACCTTTTACAACCAAGGTAGCACTTAAATTAGAAATCATGACTTATAAAATCGTACTTTAGGCAAGATAATGGGCATTTTAAATTTTGAGGTATATCTGAATTCTGGTGTTAAGGAAAATATTGTTTGTGTAGTGTATTGTTTGTTGAATACCAGGTTTTAGTCACATTGAGGGTCTTAAATGTTACCTAAACAATAATAGAAAAAGATAAGTGAAAATGAAACCTGATATTTTATGAGTTTAGCTTTTCTCATTACTCTTTGTTTCACTAACTAAACTAAAGGTATACAGACATATTTTAATAAAGACTTTCTCAATTATTCTGCAGTATTTGTTTCTGTAAAGTTTGTTGGCCTTTACTATTTGTGGGTTTGGCACCTGACAAGAACATTGAGATTTTTTTTCATTATGAAACTAAGCTATTGACGTTAGCATATGTTAGGTTATAGATTTTACCTTGACACTGCTTGTGCTGGAAAGAATGGTTACCAATAAAGTTTGAAAATTTCCATAACATCTACAAGTGCTTATGTACTTACTTAACCATTATAATAACCTGCTGGAACTACAAGTGATGAGCCTTTGTCCACTAGTTTATAGCCAGGCCAGCCAGTTTGACCAGGCTCTATACTGCTGGCTGATAAACATTTGAGCCGCGTCACGACAAAACTAACATAAGGCGTTTGCGACCAGCATGGATCCAGACCAGCCTGTGCATCCGCGCAGTCTGATCAGGATCCATGCTGTTCGCTTACCAACCCTATTACAAGTAGAGAAACTGATAGCGAACAGCATGGATCCTGATCAGACTGCGCGGATGTGCAGGCTGGTCTGGATCCATGCTGGTTGCAAACTCACTATGTTGGTTTTGTAGTGACGCGGCTCATTTAATATTTTTCATCCTGATATCTCTGAAATTGATAATGGATAGTTCCGAAAATAGAAGCTGGGCCAGTCCATTTAAGAAATTTATCTGGTTAAGGGTTAAAAATCCAAACTTTGGAAATAAAAATTATCCTGAATTCTAGCATCACATAAATTGCAGACAGTTTTCAATTAAATAACATAGTCTCATGGCAAATATTTATCATCAATTAAACAAAAAATTGAAAGAATCAATAATATTATTTGGAAAATGAATTCAGTGTGCAAAGATTCTCAGAGAAGTTTTAGGCATACAAAAAAAATTGCATTTAACATTTAAAACAAATATTAAATATTTTGTTTTACACCTGATCCCTGCGTGTATGTTTTCACCATACCTTTTTGCCTGCCATCAATATTACAGTCCGACCCCGGTTATTCCACAACCCTTTATTTATATACCCAGCTGTATCCGAGGTAGACAGGCGGTCCCGAATTTATCTCTGCCGGCTGATTTTGTTCTGTACTGGTTACAATGGGTATGCAGAATAAGTTACCACCTTACTCACCTCGGTGTTGGCATCATCATTTCACTTTGGTTTTTGCATGCAAGTTAATATTTCCAGTTATACTAAAGGGAAGGAGTTGAAACATCAAACTTTTGTTCTCTTTGTTTATCTTTCAGTTGTCCTGTTTGACTGTGGTTCAGTATTTTGTAAAAGCACAGGTCCCATAACTCTAAAGTACCTTTTTATACAGAGCAATGCACTTTATTTTGCATATAGTCCAGTGGGCTTATGGACAGCTCTTGTTTTTTATGCTCCTTGTAAACTTATAGAAAAACGGTGTAGAGTTTTATCAAGGTTTAGGCGCAAAACTGTTGTAAGTCCTTCCTTATTTCATATCAGTTACTACAGTTTTGCGGTCAACCCTCATGTTATGCGAATGTATGACAAGGCAAGCAGGCCTGGCTCTATACTAATGTAGTATGAAAGTCAACTGTGGCAGCTAGTATTTAATGAATATTTATATCATTTTGAAACAGTATGGTTTTATTTACAGAGACATCATTATTTCTTTAATTTACATACTAAAATGAGTCTTTCCTTTGTTTTACGTTTATGGAAAATTCATTTTGTTCAACAAATGCTATCATGTTATCTCTTCTCACATTTCAGGGATCTTAAATTAGACAATGTATTATTGGATGCTGAAGGCCATGTGAAGATAGCTGATTTTGGGATGTGCAAGGAGGGAATTCTAGCCGAGAAAACTACAAAAACTTTCTGTGGCACTCCAGACTATATAGCTCCAGAGGTAGTGTTTTTTAATCAGGGAATAATATCAACCAGAAGTGTTTTAATTGATTTTAACATGATGGAGTACTTGTTTGTTGTCTCAATAATTCGATGAAGCTGTGTAGACTAGATGAATTATTTCTCCGCAGCAGATAGGTGATTCCATGTTTGGAAAATATTGAAACTTGCTACCATAAATAGTTACCGTAGAAATCGTGTGATATATCTTAATTTATTTTCGGTAACTGGATTTTCTTTTGTCCCAAATACAATAAATTGGTAATTTATAATTTGAATTGTGTCCTTCCATCTGTGTATATGTCAGCATTTAAAAATAATTGTAAGAAAAATTATCGTAAGAGGAGTTACAAACCTTTTAATGTGGTTATGGGTTATAGCCCTTTAATACACCAATGAGTCATAGCCATTTTATTCTGTATGGAGTTTTATCCCATTTATACTGACTGTCCTGAATTAATGCCTCTTTGTACAGACATAAGTTACAGCCCCTTTCTACTGTTTTAGTTACAGCCCAGTGTTCTATGACAGGTAACAACCCTTTTATGCTATAAATAAGTTATAGACCTTTTTTATTGTAATAAGTTAAAGACCTTTCATATTAAGTCCTTTATCATGTTACAAGTTATAGTATAAAATGGAGGGCATTATTTGAATAAAGCCGGAGGCTGAGCATGTACAAAATAGCATTTCATTTTGAATTTATGGTTTAAGTCGCGTATTCAAAGGTTTAAATTTCCCGCTATATCACGGACATGCGCGTGACTACCGGAAGTAATAACCGGAAGCATGAAACACATGTTTTCACTCATTTAAAGAGTGTTTTTTGTTGCAATAAAGCAACTAAGGGAGGGTTAAAACCTCTCTATATTATATAATAAGACATTAATCACATACTATGATACTATACACAAGGGAGGGTTTGTACATGCTCAGCCTCCGGCTTTATTCAAATAATGCCCTCCATCCTGCACTAAAGCTTGGATGGGGTCCATTATTTTTCATCAAGCCTTCGGCTTCACATGTACAAAATAGCATCTTTAAAGGCAACAAAAAAACAAATATTTTCCAAGTTTAATACCCCAAAAAATATTCTATTCCAAAAACAGCATCATTATAAGAAATACCAGATTCTAAGTTTCTACAATAAAACTTATGAAAATTTTTAGATGATTTCCAATCAGCAGTTTTTAAAATCTCCCTTATTGAACATCCTTTATTATAGGCAGCCGAAGCTGATGCTCCTCTATAAGAATGCGCCTTATATTTAGTTATATCAATCCCTGCTAAACTTAACACATTTTTTAACCATCTTGCCAAAGTGCTGGAAGAAACAGCATTAAAGGTAACATATGAAACAAACACCTTTTTACTTTTTCTAATATCAGCAGTCTTTTTTTAACATAATAAAGTAGAGTATGCATTGGACATATATTTTCTTCCAGATAATGCTCTATCCTTATAGAGTAATATTGACCTGTCTTGGATGTCTTCAAAATATCCGTGAATGTGAAAAACAACTGCCTGTTGTTGAATAAACATATTGTCTAAAGTTAAAGAACACAAAGTCTGAGCTCTTGGTGCAGTTGCAAGAGCAATCAAGGCTAAGGTTTTAAAAGTTAATAATTTCAAAGATAACCTAGATAATGGCATTAACTTTTGTAAATAACACAAAACAACAGAAACATCCCAAATCATTATATAACGCGGTTTAGCCGGTTTATGTAAAAATACACTTCTCATGAATCTTACAATCATTTTGTTGTCACTACACCATGTATTTCCCAATAAGGACAATGTTGCATTAACATCGCTTTATGAAGATTTATAACCGAATAAGACATACCAGATTGAAATAAAAAATACAGGTAACTCACGACTACACCTTCAGACGAACAAATTGGACTGGAACATCTAATAGAATTCCACATATACCATCTTTTCCAGGCACTGCTATACTGTTTTCTTGTGCCCTGTGACCAAGATTCCGTGATGAAATCTGCAACATTTGATGAAATTCCCTTACTCTGCAGGCTTTCCCTGATAACACCACTCCAATCATTTTTAATTTTCTTCCTAATGGGTGTAATGTTCCATTGTGCGGCAAAACTAGAAGATCTCTGTGTCTGGGTAACCTGATAGGAAAATCACAAAGGTTTTCAAGTAGAATAGGGAACCAAGGTTGTGTGAACCAAAAAGGAACAACCATTAGAGCTCTATCAACCTCATCAATAACAATTTTATTTAGTACTTTCCCAATTAAATTAAATGGAGGAAAGATGTATGGTATATTCCTTCCATGATAATGAAAAAGCATTAACTGCGTAAGCCCCTGGTTCGGGAAACCATGAAACAAATTTAGGTAAGGATTATTAAGTCTAGAAGCAAAAAGGTCTATGTTAGGCATAAATGTGTGTCTACATAATCTTTCAAAAATATCTTTTTTCAATGTCCATTCAGTGGAATCGGAAAAATTTCTAGAATAATAATCAGCACTTTTATTTAATTTACCAGGGACATGTACAGCAGAAATATATATATTTCTACTTAAACACCATTCCCATAAACATTTTGAAAGGTCATCTAATTCCAAAGAATTCATACCACCAAAATTATTTATGTAAGTTACCACTGAAACAGAATCTGAATGAATCTCGATATGAATATCACAAAATTCATTGTAAAATGCTTGCATGCAGTAAAAAACTGCAAGGAGTTCCAAATAATTAATATGATAACAACATTCCTGATTTTTCCATCTGCCTTGTGTGTGCAAGCCAGAAATCAGGTCTATTCCGCCATAACCTTCCATCGACGCATCTGTAAAACACCTTCTGGATACAGAAATAGGCCTGATTCTTTTACCATTTTTATTCTTCACGTTTTTATACCCCCGCACAACAAAGTTGTAAGGGGGGTATACTGGAATCAGCTTGTCCGGCCGTCCGTCCGTCCGGCCGTCCGTCCGGCCGTCCGTCCGGCTGTCCGTCGGTTTTTTCTTGTCCGCCCAATAACTTAAGATTCCTTTGACCCTTAGTCTTCATATTTGGCATGGAGGTTAGTCATGATTAGTAGATGACCCCTATTGATTTTTGAGGTCACTAGGTCAAAGGTCAAGGTCACAGGGGCCTTGACTTCAAAAAGCTTGTCCGCCCAATAACTTAAGATTCCTTTGACCTACATTCGTCATATTTGGCATGGAGGTTAGTCATGATTAGTAGATGACCCCTATTGATTTTGAGGTCACTAGGTCAAAGGTCAAGGTCACAGGGCCTTGACTTCAAAAAGCTTGTCCGCCCTATAACTTAAGATTCCTTTGACCTACAGTCGTCATATTTGGAATGGAGGTTAGTCATGATTAGTAGATGACCCCTATTGATTTTGAGGTCACCAGGTCAAAGGTCAAGGTCAAAGGGGCCTTGACTTCAAAACGCTTGTCCGCCCAATAACTTAAGATTCCTTTGACCCACAGTCTTCATATTTGGCATGGAGGTTAGTCATGATCAGTAGATGACCCCTATTGATTTTGAGGTCACCAGGTCAAAGGTCAAGGTCACAGGGGCCTTGACTTCAAAAAGCTTGTCCGCCCTATACCTTAAGATTCCTTTGACCCATAGTCTTGATATTTGGCATGGAGGTTTGTCATGATTAGTAGATGACCCCTATTGATTTTGAGGTCACCAGGTCAAAGGTCAAGGTCACAGGGGCCTTGACTCCAAAAAGCTTGTCCGCCCAATAACTTAAGATTCCTTTGACCCACAGTCTTCATATTTGGAATGGAGGTTAGTCATGATTAGTAGATGACCCCTATTGATTTTGAGGTCAAAGGTCAAAGTCACAGGGACTTTGACTTCAAAAAGTTTGTCTGCCCAATAACTTTAGATTCCTTTGACCCACAGTCTTCATATTTGGCATTGATGTTGATCATGATTAGTAGATGACCCTTTTTGATTTTTGAGGTCACTGGGTCAAAGGTCAAGGTCATAGGGACTTTGACTTCAAAAAGTTTGTCCACCCATTAACTTAAGATTCCTTTGACCCACAGTCTTCATATTTGGCATGGATGTTGATCATGACTATAAGGTGACCCATATTGATTTTGAGGTCACTGGGTCAAAGGTCAAGGTCACAGGGACCTTGACAAAAAAAAGCTTTTTCTTCTCAACTGTTAAAGAATGTCCTGTCCGCAATGTATTGATTTTGACATTTTCACATTTGAAGCATGTAGAATACATAACTTAGCAATGCACTGGCTTAGTAACCTCAGATTTGGCAGGGAGGTTGTCCTTGAGCTCTAAATGGCCACCGTTGATTCTGACAAAGTGGTATGCGGGGGTATTCACGCCATGATAGTGGCAGTTCTAGTTTAACCACCATTGAATTTCTTGAATACTTTTCGTAGACAAACTAACTTTATTATCAAAATTCATATTTTGACCTAAACCTATCAACTTGTCTCTTTCAAGGGCTCTATAATGTAATGGCCCTTCTAAAATTGCATAAAAAGAACTAACTATCACACCTATAAAAGAAGCCAACTGTCTGACCAAAACAACCTCATGTTGCAATAAATAGGATGCTTTCGACATAATTTTCTGTACTTTTTCATCAGTCAAAAATACCTTGAACTGAACTGTATCAATAATATGACCAAAGAAAATAATTCTCTGACAAGGGATTAGTACAGACTTTTTCTCATTTATAGTAAATCCTAAACTCTGTAATGTCTTTGTAATAGTAACTGTATTATTCAAACACACATGTGACAACTCATTGAAATTAATAGAATCATCAATATAATAAGAACAGCGTATATCTTGCTGTCTAAACCAAGCAAAAATGGGACGTAATACTTTAGTAAACAAATATGGGGCTATTTTCAAACCAAATGGTAAACATACAAATGAGTATAAAATAGAATTGAATGAAAACTTCAAATATTTCCAGTGTGAAGGATGTATAGGAATAGAGAAATATGCATCAGATAAATCAACTTTTGTC